ATTCACCGTTGACTTGTCGACATTATTCTATATACTTATGATAGGAACGAGTAAGGTTTACTTGAAATAAGCAATTCTCAACTGAAGTTTTGAGATGATGGTGCTTATTTATTCAGGATCAATTCCTTCATCTTTCACATATGATTATATCTATTCACTTTCTTTAAAACTCCCACCTGTGGGTTAAACAGTGGGACTTGTATCTAGCAATATTATTGTTAACTAAAAAAAACAAAAAAAACTTGTTAGTACAATATTCACTCGCAAAAAATAAAGAATTATTCTTAGAATCCCAAATATGTTTCGGCTTTAAATCACCCAGAAAAGGTTGACAAGCGTAAAAACAAATCAATCAGAAAAAAAGGAATTCTGAAAGAGAAGAATTCAATTCCTGGGTCATGTAGTGCGAAAATATACACCGATTCAGTGGAGAGGCAGATCGGCATTGCAAGACAAAAGTGACGCTTTTGGCTTCTAAATTTCCTTAAGATGTCACCGGATATTACAGTTATGGCAACAATAAAAACATTCTTCATCTTCTTATTCTCCAACCTCGTTCTATTTCTTTTCTTTTTTTCTTGTTGCTATTGTTGTTGTTTTTCTTCTTCTTCTTCTTCTTTTCCTTGTTCTTCTTCTTCTTCTTCTTCTTCTTCTTCTTCTTCTTCTTCTTATTATTATTATTATTATTCCTCTTTTTTCTTGTTCTTTCTTCTTTTTTTCTTGTTGCTATTGTTGTTGTTTTTCTTCTACTTTTTCTTCTTCTTTTCCTTGTTCTTCTTCTTCTTGTTCTTCTTCTTCTTCTTCTTCTTCTTATTATTATTATTATTATTATTCCTCTTTTTTCTTGTTCTTTCTTCTTTTTTTCTTGTTGCTATTGTTGTTGTTTTTCTTCTACTTCTTCTTCTTCTTTTTCTTCTTCTTCTTCTTCTTCTTCTTATTATTATTATTATTATTCCTCTTTTTTCTTGTTCTTCTTTTTTTCTTGTTGCTATTGTTGCTGTTTTTCTTCTACTTCTTCTTCTACTTTTCCTTGTTCTTCTTCTTCTTCTTCTTCTTCTTCTTATTATTATTATTATTATTATTATTATTCCTCTTTTTTCTTGTTCTTTCTTCTTTTTTTCTTGTTGCTATTGTTGTTGTTTTTCTTCTACTTCTTCTTCTTCTTTTCCTTGTTCTTCTTCTTCTTCTTATTATTATTATTATTATTATTCCTCTTTTTCTTGTTCTTTCTTCTTTTTTCTTGTTGCTATTGTTGTTTTTTTTCTTCTTCTTCTTCTTCTTCTTTTCCTTGTTCTTCTTCTTATTATTATTATTATTATTCCTCTTTTTTCTTGTTCTTTCTTCTTTTTTTCTTGTTGCTATTGTTGTTGTTTTTCTTCTACTTCTTCTTCTTCTTTTCTTGTTCTTCTTATTATTATTATTATTATTATTATTCCTCTTTTTTCTTGTTCTTTCTTCTTTTTTTCTTGTTGCTATTGTTGTTGTTTTTCTTCTACTTCTTCTTCTTCTTTTCCTTGTTCTTCTTCTTCTTCTTCTTCTTATTATTATTATTATTATTATTCCTCTTTTTTCTTGTTCTTTCTTCTTTTTTTCTTGTTGCTATTGTTGTTGTTTTTCTTCTACTTCTTCTTCTTCTTTTCCTTGTTCTTCTTCTTATTATTATTATTATCATTATTATTATTCCTCTTTTTTCTTGTTCTTTCTTCTTTTTTTCTTGTTGCTATTGTTGTTGTTTTTCTTCTTCTTCTTCTTCTTCTTCTTCTTCTTCTTTTTCTTCTTCTTCTTCTTCTTATTAATATTATTATTATTATTATTCCTCTTTTTTCTTGTTCTTTTTTCTTGTTGCTATTTTTCTTTTTGTTTTCTTCTTATTATTATTATTATTATTATTATTATTATTCCTCTTTTTTTTCTTTTTTCTTTTTCTTCTTCTTCTTATTATTATTTTACTTTCCCTTTTCTTTTCTCCTTTTCACTTATTATTTTCTTCTTTTGTCTTCTTTTCTTCTTCTTCTTCTTCTCCTTCTTCTTCTTCTTCTTATTATTATTATTATTATTATTATATTTTCCTCTTCTTTTCTTCTTTTTCTACCTCTTTTATTCTTTTCATTTTTCTTCTTTTCACTTCTTATTATTTTCTTCTTTTGTCTTCTTTTCTTTTCTTCTTCTTCTTCTTCTTATTATTATTATTATATTTTCCTCTTCTTTTCTTCTTTTTCTACTTCTTTTTTCTTTTATTCTTTTCCTTTTTTTCTTTTTTCTACTTTTCACTTCTTATTATTTTCTTTTGTCTTTTTCTTCTTCTTTTTCTTTTTCTTCCTCTTATTCTTATTCTTTTTCTTCTTCATCGTTTTCTCTTTCTTCTTTGTCGTCTGCTTTTTACTTCTTTTTTTTATTTTCTTCTTTTTCTTTTGCTTTATATTCTTTTTCTTCTTTATTTTTTCTTTTTCTCCTTTTCCTCTTTTTTTCTTTTTCTTCATCTTTTTCTTCTTTTTCATCTTCTTCTTATTGTTTTTCTTTTTCTTCTTCTGCATAAACCTATTATTCACGTTACTTTTTTTTTCATTGAGAATGAGAATTTAGCCTTTTTGAAATTTCTTCTTGTCCGTTTCACTTTTTAAATTCAATCTATAATAAAGCCTTCACCTTCCACACATCCTCTCTCACATCCTTCCTTCATTTATCACTTCATTCATTCTTCATCCTTTCATTTACCTTTCAATCTTTTCTTGAAATGTGCTGTTTCACTTCAGGACGTGAGAGATCATGGATTCCTCTCTTTTGTCTTAGTAAGTTTTGTCTTTTTGCTATCGTCCCTAATCCTTGTGTAATGTCAATCATTTCCTCTAGCTCACTTGGTAGATTATTCGCCTTGCCTTTAATTATTTGTCTTCCTTTCAATGTCCTGTGAGTGCCAAATTCTTCATGACCTCTTACCTGATTATGTGCCGTAGATGTGTCAACTGTCTCTTCCTGATGTGAAATATGTGTCCTTTTTTATTCCATTTTCTCTAAGACTACGTCGTTTATTTACATTGCTCGGACTATCATCCTCATCTTTGGGGCCATATTTATCATAACGTTTCGGCCGTTGTATGCTCCAGCCTTCTTCAAATCTTGAAATCATAGACATAGAACATCACTGGAAAATACATAAACTTAAGGAATCAGTACATATAGGCCACAAAAATCCCCTGAGCCGACCAAGCGTAGAAATGAATACAATATGGGAACCAGTAATAAAGAGTGTCATAGAAAAGCAATAATACCAAGGAAAATTGCAATATGAGCTCTGCTAAAAATATGTAATGATAACAGCAAAAATTACAATATAAGTACTGGTAAAAAATGATTTCTGAAGACATTAGGTTTATAAAGCCCATGAATGCATACGCAGATGTCCTCAAGGACACATTGCACAGTGGATTAAGGCGTTGGTTAGGTCCATTGACAGGACCCAAAGAGTGTGAGTTCAATACCTGGTTAAGGCGGTGGAGAACTTGGAGAGGGGAATTAACAGGAGATAACTGATAATTGACATCCATGACATGTGGAACTAGAACAGTCTATCCCAGCGAGCGAAATAAAGGGTTCAGTTCGACATTCCAACCACCTGAAGAAGACCAGAGCGTACAACGGCCAAAACGTTGTGATAAATATGGCAACAAAGATGAGGATGTTAGTCCGAGCAATGTAAATAGTGTACATAATACCTCCTCTCAGAAATATAGACAAAATATAGACAGATACTACGTCGTTTCTCACATGTTCGGCGCATGTTATTGTCAGCATTGGTCTGTTGCCTCAAGTATTATCACATTTCTCAACACTCCTCAGTGGACCGTGTATAGAAATCTGAAATGTGACAGACATCCGAGGTTAAAACAGCTGGAAGTTTGTCAAAAAGACAGCAAAGACGATGACACTTGTCTGTAAAGGTCAACATATAGAATAAACAATAGCAGTATTTTATCTCACATTTTATTAAGTGTCGAGAATTTGATAGCCAAGGGATATCAAGAAACATTAAACTGATCTTTTAACTATCTATCTATCTATCGTTATATATATATATATATATATATATATATATATATATATATATATATATATATATTGCAACATCATCAATTGATAAGACACAGAGTGTGTTGAAACTAAATGGCTATTTTTGTAGTGATTTTATAACATACTTATGTTATAATTTTTTTTTTTATAAAAAATAATATATATATATATATATATATATATATATATATATATATATATATATATATATATACACTACAGTTCAAAAGTTTGGGAGGCCCTGGTAATTTTTTTTTAAATTGGCCCAAAAGTAGTTGTTTTGTACTTTAAATAAGTGAACATTATTATACTTGGTGAAAATAGTAAGATATTTTATTAAAAATTTTATTATGACAAAACGAAAACAAACGCATTTTATGATTAAATTTTGCTCTCGTCAAAATATCCTCCTTTACCCTTCATTACTGCAGCACAAAGCTTTGACATTCATTGCAAAAGTTTCTCAAAGATTGGTAATTTATTCTATCCTTTTTTTCAATGATTCTAAGAGCTCTTTTTCATTTTCATTTTCATTTTTCTGTCAAGTTCATCCCATGCTAATTCTTGGTGTTACTTCAAATTTTTTAACTGTAGTGTATATATATTTTCCAATGATTGTTTACTATAAAACGAAGACCATCAGCATCTTGGGAAATTAAGTTGATATTTCTCATGCGAATTTGCTTTTTACTGGATGAAAAGGAAAGAATGAAATTAACGGAAGAAATCTCATGGCGATCAACTTATATAATTGGGTTATGGTATGTGATAACAAACGATATAAAGTTAATATATGATCAGGATTTATACAACCGTGTCTTGATGTATAAGATTTACCTGTATTAATCTGTAATATAACGAACTACTTCAACTGCTGCTGGCAGTCGAAGAAGAGCAGTTACTGGACATGCCGATGTGTCATTAAGATTTGAATGAAAATAGGAAAACATGTCTTCGTCTGCCATACTTTTATAATTTCTCTCTTTTTCAAGTAAAAAGATGCCCATTATTTCTAAATTATTTTCACCTCTCCTTCCTTCATTGCTAGGTCCTTCACCTTTTTAAAAACATATTTCTTGATTTATTTTGTTCGGAATGATTATTCCTTCATTTTCTTTTGGTTATTTGTTTGCTTTCTATATACTGATTATTTCTCTTCGCCTGTCACTTATTTTCGTTTCTTCTTCTTCTTCTTCTTCTTCTTCTTCTTCTTCTTCTTCTTCTTCTTCTTCTTCTTCTTCTTCTTCTTCTCCTCCTCCTCCTCCTCCTCCTCCTCCTCCTCCTTCTTCTCCTTCTTCTTCTTCTTCTATTATTCAATTTTCGTCTCTCTGTCTTCTTCATTTGTTCTGATTCCTATTGTTATCGCTCTTTTTTCTTCTTCTGCTTCCCCCTCTTCTTCTCCTCTATGTATTTTCGTTCTTCCTTTCTGATTTTAATATATTCCTTCCTTTTCCCAGACTTCCTTCCTTCCTTCTTTTCTTCATTCGTACCATCCTTCCTTCCTTTATTCCTGCCATATTACTTCCTTCCTTTATTCCTGCCATATTACTTCCTTCCTTTATTCCTGCCATATTACTTCCTTTCTTTCTTTCTTTCTTTCTTTCTTTCTTTCTTTCTTTCTTTCTTTCCTTCCTTCCTTCCTTCCTTCTACCCATCCATCATTCCTTCCTTCTTTCCCTTGAGTGTGACATGTTTCTGTCTACTTGTCAAATTCCGTTTTTTTTCTCTACTTAAAAATAAAAAAGATATTTTTGCCGTTATTTTTCGAAAAAAAAATGATAATAAAAAGCATAAAGTAAAAAATAATTAACAACCACAATCAGCGATAACGAGAAATATTTCTTTCTTTTTAATTTTGAAAAAATAATCTATCTGTAATTTAATAATATAAGCAGCATCTGTCCATCGAACAGAAAGCAGATCAAGTCCATTGTCCGTACATCCCTCTCGACACACAAACGACTTCATTTTAAATTGTATCGACACACAAGAAAAGACGCAAATGTTCTTTCTTCCACATTCAATGCTTATCGATTAAGCAGAGAAAAAAATGAGGACCGCATTGTAAGCTGATTCGAAGCAACTTTCCAAATAAAAGAAACCTTTCCGTCTCCTCGCAAGCCAAACCGCCAACTTTTCTGCATGAACCATTGATTCAAATTCTTGAGGAGACGGAAAGCTGACATCTTTCCCGAAAGACGAAGGTTGGCTAACTGAGGTGCCTCATTTAACGTAATTATTTTTAATAAATTAAAAAAGAGAGAAATTAGCATTTTGTTTAATAGTAGCTGCTTATGCAATCCGTGATATCTCTTGTAAGAGATATCAATCTCTTGATAGTTACCTCGGCGTCGGTAATGGTTCACGAGGCTAGACTGGTTGTCCATGACTACTAACTAGTGAGTTCGAACCTTGCTGTGTGTTCTATTGAAAATTAGACACTAATTAAACCAAGGAAGGTCTATATCTCGTAAAATCATACCAAGGTAACTAAATAGACGCCTTCGCGTGAGGTAATGGTTACCGAGGTTAGTCTGTTTAAATCTCACCACTGAGTAGTCATTTTGAGTCTAATGAATGCGCCATAGAGAATTCAACATAAAATCTCAGCAAGGATTGACATATAAAATGAAACAACCTAAATAAATGGGCATGAGCTAATGATTAGACATTTTAGTCTAGTTAACACTGATTAGTGAGTTCGATCCTAACTGGGTTCACCGTACAAGATTCGACATTAAATAACTTCACAGGCGATAACATGTCGTAAAATCATCAAAGCTGACTAAATAGGCACGTCCACGTGAGGTAATGGTTAACGAGCTAACTCTTGTTGACCGTTACTGTTGGTGAGTTAGCTCGATCCTTACTGGTTACCCCATAAAAAAAAAATCAATATTGAATAAACTAACAAGGGTTGGTCAAATCAACCAGCCTAACTAAACAGGCGTCTCACCAGAGGGTAATGGTTAACGAGGTTAATATGATTGACGACGACTATCTGGGAATGATTCTGAACCTCACTGAGTGCTTCATAAAAAAAGGCAACATTCAGTAACCCAACAAATAGTTGATATGTTGTAAAACCAACCTGCCAAAATGGCTTGACTCGGAGAAAATCTTTGTGAAAGCTTACGCCTCAACCATGGTCGACAGATTCATGCAGTCTCTTCGCTACTCAAAGGTTTATGCAATTGTTTCCCGAATGCTAACTGCATGAAGAGGCCGTGGATGATTGCCGCTTATGGGCTTCTGAAGCTTCGGCGTGGTGTAATGATTAACAAGCTTGCCTCACTAAGACAGTTACGACTGAATAGTGAGTTCGTCCCTCACTGGGTGTCCCATATTTTCACCCCTGTGCCGCATCTAAGCTATGCTTAGAAAATCAATGAGTACCTCGAGGTAGTGTAATGGTTAGCAAGCTTGTTTCGCTAGAACAATTACGACTGAGTTGTGAGTTCGATTCTCACTGGGTGCCCTCTACTTTCGGCCTTGTGCCACATCTGAGCTACGCTTGGAAAATCACTATGGGCTTCTGAAGCTGCAAAAATGAATTAGCACTCAGTATAGAACTGTTCCCGTTGTGAAGATGATTAGGAACAGGCAACTCACACATGGCTACGAAATGAACTTCAGTGAGCCGAGTATATATGCCTTCATTCAAAAGGGGACTACAACGATTGACAAGGAAGGAAATATTATTAACGACTAGACATGAAATCCTAAAATTTTTGTGTTCGGTTTGGTATGGGTGCTTCTAAAGAAAGGATTTAGTTGGTTGATTTAGTTTAGCAGCATACAAACCTCTTTGGCTTTATATATCTCTGAGATGAGTTTAGGGTTCGTTTCGCCCCAGACTCGGAAGCGAGTTGCAATCTAGGGGCCTCGGTGTTCCCATTATAGTTTTTTTACAAAAAAATCAATTAGCCTAGTAACAAACTGGATGGTAATTTAACATGTATGCAATGTTTCATGAATATTGGTTTACAGGTTTAGGCGGCAACTTGATTCGAACGAATAGACGGAATTTGCCATTTTTATATATATATATATATATATATATATATATATATATTGAACAATAAAAATATTAAAAAAATAAAAAAAACACACACACACACAAAACACACACACACACACACACACACATATATATATATATATATATATATATATATATATATATATATATATATATATATATTTAAGTTATGAAGAACTTGGTAAACTGAATGGGTAATTCCAAGGAGGATGAAATCCTGAGAGCTCAATGTGAATACAGAGCTAATATTTAATGAAAACAGACCACTTTAAGGTACCATTACAATAATTTATTTCTGATGATCCGGAGTTTTAAAAGGACTCCGGATCATGAAATAAAGTTATTGTAATGGTACCTTAAAGTGGTCTGTTTTTCATTAAATTTATATATATATATATATATATATATATATATATATATATATATATATATATATATAGATAGATTACTTTTTTTTTCTCAAAATAACTTTATTTTTTCCTTTTTTTATTTTTTCAGTAGGTATCCATTCATGTCAGGAGACAATAGTAGAGCCCTGTTCGATCCAAATTCTGTCCTTTGGTGGTGGGATTAGAGTTACCGCTCCAGGGGTCAGGCCTGGGCAATGGTATATAGAGACAGTGCATCTTTTCTTATTTCTAACTTAAACATTTTACGGAATAATCAGAACACTATTCATTTCTTATTTTTTCCTCTCTTCCTTGCCATTAGATGGTCTTTACGAATATTTTTCCCTCAGTTTTTTACCACTCTCTTTTTATAATCCTCTCTTTTTATACGAAATAAATAATATTATTATCTTTTATTTTTATTTTCCATTTTTTCTCTTGCATCAATTACATTATTCGGACACTTATCCTCATCTTCATTGCCATATTCACAACTTGGAGAGTTGACTTAAAGGGAAATAACTGCGACACCGGGAACAGGCATGGGTCGTGGAACTAGAGCAATCTACTACCGTAGGCGAAATAAAGGGTTCAGTTCGAAATTCCAATCACCTGAAGAAGGCCAGAGTGTACAACGGCCGAAACGTTGTGTATATGGTAATGAAGATGAGGATGACAGTCCGAATAATGTAAATAATGCAAGTAAACTTCTATGAGTTATTTAATGCCGAAATCGAAATATTTTTAACGCAATTTTATGGCTTCAACTAAATATATGTTGAACGCATTTATATGCCTTGAACTAAATATATTTTGAACACGGCTGTATACATTCAACTAAATATATTTTGAAAATAACTGTATGCAGTCGACTAAATAGATTGTAAATGCAAATCTATGCCTTCAACTAAATATATACCTTCAACTACTCATAAAATGTATTGTTGGTCATTTTGCTATAAAATGTTTGTTGGTCATTGTACAATAAAATGTAATGATGGCCATGTTGCTTTAAAAATATATTGTTGGTATTTTTACTATCAGTAAGTATTGTTGACAATGTTTATATAAACATGTATTGTTGGTATTTTTACTATCAATAAGTATTGTTGATAATGTTTATATAAACATGTATTGTTGGTATTTTTACGATAAAATATATTCTTATACTTTCATAGTGTTTTACTTGCGTTTGAAGTTCCACTATTTGCCCATAGCCTGGGAGCTAACTGGTGCTACTACCCAGGATTTGAGTGGACCAAAGAACGCAGCAATTAAGAGGTAGTTCCTCGCTTCTTAAAACCTTTAATCTCCTGATCAGAGGCCTTGCTACCGGTTGTAGTTTATCGTCATACTCTGGATTATCTAAAGAAGAGACAACCCATCAATTGTAAAAGAACGATATATACTCATTGAGAAGAGAGACAGTCTAAGAGGCCAAAATACAAATTGGAGACGTGAGAACTAAGCAAGTACAGAACTGTAACTATATGTCAAGTGTTATGAGGAAGATGGAAATGTGAGGTCGAAACACGAAAGCGCATTGGACAAACGAAAGATGCCTGCTAAAAACTAAGGAAAGTATCAAGAAACACGAAACCAAACATGAATATCATCAGATAGCAAAAATGTAGTAACTGATCCACAATAATCAGCACCATCGTTAGAAAGAATGAACAGATTGCTCAAAAGTCATGGAATATCAGTCTTCACTTATGGCATTGTATAAGACGTATTCCACGTGAGACTTGGAGTGAGTGGAATTCGTCTTATATGTATTCCACGTGAGACTTGGAGGGAACTATAGACCCTATAGACGTCCAAAGCACTGAGTCTCGTTAAGATTACAACGGTTCGAAAATAAATTATACCTTTGAGCAATGCCACTTCTTGTATTAGAACAATTTTCAAAATTCGAAACACGCAGTTTGTCGCTTCAGGACGTACAATATCATGGTACTGTGCCTGTTCTGGCATCTCGTCTACAGTCTCTCTCTCAGACGCGCCGTCGCCTCTCTCTGTCTGTTTTACAAATGCTTTCATGGCAATTGTTCCGAGGAGCAGCATTCGCTGGTTCGCAGACTTCATGAGTTCAAGCGCTTTACGAAGCAGGCATCCCGCTCTCACCCTTTCACAGACGAAACTCCTAAATGTAGCTGTCTCTTCTACTCCAATAGCTTCATGTCTCGCACCTCTCGCCAGTGGAACTCCCTTCCCTATTCCAGTTTCCATGTGAGCTATAATCTCCATCTATTCAAATGTAATGTCAATCGACATCTTCTGT